GTCAATGCTATTCACTTTCTATAACATGATTTATAGGATCTAATCAGCTGTTATGAAACCTTTCACTCCTAAAACAGCTGTTATTATCGCATCATTATCTTGAGGCTTAAAGAAAAACAATATTGAACCAGCAATATACTCTTTTGTTTTCCATTTTTGACCATAGTAAACTATGACTGAATCACGAGACATAAATGTTGGTGTACTAGTAGCACACGATAACAAATTTTCAAGATTTGTGAATACTCTTTGGACGATTGATAAATGATGTCATCGCTATCAACGCTTCAATCATTTAATAACTTACTCGTTTGGAGTTCAATATTATTTGTGAATAAACACTTTGAACAACGTTGGCCATTTCGTACAAGCTCAAATACACCTTTATAGATATCAGTTATCGCAAATACACATTGTTTTGGTTCATATTCAAATTGTATTCTGTTCTCTTTTTCAGTTTTTTTTAATGGTGAAAGAAAGATTTTTTTACTATGTTCTTTTTTAAAGAATAACACTGTTTTATTCAATAGTTGATCACCTTTTTGGTCGAATGAAATGATAATCGGCAGTTGTGTTCGTTTTAAAACATGCTTAACTGAACTATACGTATCACTCCATTTACATTGATTTAATATTGTATTTCTTAATAGTTCTTCCGTCTGTGTCATTCTGAATGATTAGATTTTTTTTGCCAAAATGATCAACGTCTACACACTATAAACGAATAAAAAACAATGCTCACGATATTTTTTTTTACATTGCCAAGTTTTGAAGAATGAGGAAGCAGATGGCCGTAAAAGTCATGCATGTCGATATAGGTATAAGTGGAAAATAACCGTGCGCTTGCTCCTCTCTTTTACCTGTACAGTAAACAAGAAAACATATGTAACCAATAAAATAGACAAGGGTTAACATAAATTATATGGATGAACGGGTCAGACTTTACTGAATTTTTTGATGAAATATTGAAAATGAATGAAGCATCGCCACCTCTTCACGCTCTCAAACTATAAAGTTTCTCATAATAATTACCGTCATATTTGTATCTATATTGGTCGAATAAATAAAAATTATTATTTGTGCAAAACGTTTTTTTATCAAATTGTCATCGCGGTACATCGGCTATCAGTAAATTCTACAAAAATATATTCTATGCAATTCGTCATACTCTCGTCCGTTTTTCTAAGATGACATGATAGCAAATTACCTCAAGACGTTATTGGAAGATTCGTATCTCTATTGTGACGTAGAAAAAATGTTTTTACCATCAATACTCTTTAAAAAGGAAAGCATATTTTACAAAATCGAAAAAAAGTTTAGGAGAATATCACCGCCAGGAATGAATATAGGTTTCGTAATTTTTATCCAAAAACTCATAAAAAGGTTTAAGACAGGATTTCTCGAGTCTACACTGTAAAAAATAAAGTAACTCAGTGACCTACTGAACGACCCATCTGAATGGATCCGTTTTACCCACTGAGGAAACTATGACGTCAGTAGATCAGTGACCAAGTGGTAGTGTATCTCTGAATTACAGAGATGACCTAAGTGAGCCGTGACCTATTTAAATGGATCCGTTTTACCTATTGAGACGATTTTACTCACTGGTGACTCACTTTATTTTTTATAGTGTGCTAAACGCCTTATAGAGTCAAGGCGGGTGCAGCTTAAGAATTATTTTTTATAAGCGTCATGTTCCTTTTCATTGTCATTGTAAAACCGTCAATAAATCTCAGAGTTCCTATAATTAACGAGCTTATTACCACGGAAAATATCGATAATTCTAATCTTGAAAAATCAACTCTAAACAAAGAGCGCCCATATATTTTTTATTCAATAAACCATTTTTCTTTCCAAAGAAATAACAAGAATCCTTTGGTTTCAGAGTGTTGATATAAATTTATGAGACTTTCCCTCGTAAACCTAATAGTTTAGTATAAATCATAAACCTTTTCAAGTTTATGATTTACGCCACTAAACACAAAACGATTTAGCTGCAACCGAACAGAATCATTTTGGGTTTTTTAAAATATACTTCTTTTTCTTCTAGAGAGTGAGTATATATAGGCAAAAAAGAAGCAAATGCGTTCAAAATTTTCAATTTTTAAAAGACTGGTAATTTCTTAAAAAATTTATCCAAACAATCTGCTGATTTTTTAACGAAAAATCTAGATTCTAAAAATTGGAGTTTGTCATTGTTAAACATCATCAAAAAATTGATGCAGTAATTTTGTCTGAGTTTAAAACTATGCTACTATAATAGTATGTCTAGATACTTTAAAATAATTCAGATGTGGTTAACTTTTCCTCATTTCTTCTGACTTCAAATATAACAGTCATAAAAGGCGATAGACTCGCTCCTCTTCTAGGGAAATAGAGTGAGAGATAGATATAAAAAAATGAGGTATATATTGTACATTTTACAAAGCTTTTTCTATTATTTGTTTTTTGTTGTTTTCAAGATCTTCATTATCTCAGCTGCTTTTTTATGCTCGAGATTTCTAACGTCCCGCCTCATCTTCGAAAAAATTGTCGTTCTCAGCTATCGTACAATTTTGTAAAAGGTATATAGAACGAATGCATTTGTTATGATTGTAGACTAAGGCTAGTTAATCGGAGAAAAATAAGATTTTTTCTTTTTAAAATAGTCTATTATTTTTTCTCTCTACATGACATGGTTTTCTTTTTGATAAGACGGAAGTGTGAAAAAGAAAATAAGTAAATAAATATCACATTAGTTAGTCACTCAACTATCTGCAAAGAGGAAATGAACTAAAAATTACTTAATAACTGATACTCATAATCAAACAATTATTTTTACAATGCAATGTGTAAAGGGCCGTCTCGTTTCCGGATATTTTTTACAGGATCATTAACAAATATTTTCAAAACAGTTTTGTGTTAAAAATAAAATAAACATTTACGTAATTTTTTGACTCTTTTTTTTCTTTTTCTAAGATAAATTTTTCTATACAAATGTTGGTGAGATAAACAGAAACATTTATTTCTTCGAAAAACTCTCATTTTTTTTGAAATTGTGCTTATCAGTTCATACAAGGAGTTAGAAAAATAATATTCTTCTACATAAACAAGTACAGTAAGTTTATTAACTCAAATTCGATGTTTAAACTATAGTTTAGTTTATGTTTCTTGTCCAAAAAAAGTCATCATATTGATGATATGATTATTATTAAAAACGTCAATCTCGATTTCTCATTCACTTTTATTTTGTTTCTTAGGGCGTTTTCTTCGGATTATTATTCGATACTGAAAATCTAATTTTTCAATAAGAGCAAACTTTTTAAAAAGATATAAATTGATAACAATCTTGACGTTGTTTATTGTGTTCAGTTTGTTTTCGCTTCAGCTGTTTTTCACACACAGCTGTTCATGGTGAAAAAATCATGTTCTTCGTGTTTTCAAAGGACTATTGAGCTCTTCGAGATATAAAAAAATAGTTTTTGTTTTCCGATGAAAAATGGGCTTTTTTAATTATTTTAATTTTTAGACATTGAGAGCTTCTCAAAAAGGAACGCTTTGGTATGAGGGCTAGAGGACTGCTGCTAGGCTTAGATTACTTTGTCGATAAGTAATCACAACAATATTAGACGTTGTTTGACTTCCTGCCTTTCCGTGATTTTTCCGCTTGTGAACACAAACAACAAAATTTATCTTTAACGAAAAACTTTGACTTATTGAGTCAAAAACAACTTGTTGTCAATCTTCATTATTATTACTCAACAAAAGTGCACATATGGGCATACATTGTTTTGTATCAATCAATCGCGTACATTAAGTTTTGTGTAATTCTAGACTTTTGGGCAAGAAAACGTCAGCCAGGACTACAAAAACTAATACCACTTCTTAAAGTAGACACTTCAGGTGTTGGGAGATGCATCGAAATCTAGAGGGTTCCTTAAGACAACGCAAATTACTGATAATTAACTATTGATCTATAAACGACGTATCTGTTCTGTATGTTTTCTTGTTAGGTTGGATATTAAGTAATGGTGGTGTTGGAGAGAATGAGCTAAACGCGATAGATGTTAACAATAACGAAAATATTGCGATAGTTTAGATGCAAGAAAGATTGTTTATTCAACATGATTACTTCAATATTGTTTTTCTTTAAGCCTCAAGATAATGATGCGATAATAACAGCTGTTTTAGGAGTGAAAGGTTTCATAACAGCTGATTAGATCCTATAAATCATGTTATAGAAAGTGAATAGCATTGAC